CAATGAAACTGCCATGTCTCTCTACTGTTTATAGAAACCATCTTCTCCATTTCTTTTTTAATGTCTGTCTGCATACTGTCCTCATTTTAGAGAAGCTTGTAATAATGCTAAAATCAGTTACCTGGCTAATTGTTTTAAGACAAGGTGAGTTGCTTTACTGTGTGAGTTTTAATTACAAAGATTTATCATTTCACTGGGAAAAAAACCCTGCACATCTGCTCCACTACTGTGTGAAAGCTTGTTCAGAGAAATAAATTGATGCAAAATACACTATAGCTATACATAATTATGCTCAAATCACTCTTCCCATGGTAGTTCTAGTGTCCTCCAGAGTAGTGAAGTCATAAAGTAATGATCAAAGCCACAAATTCCACATGATCAGACAGTTTTATTCTGAGATAACATATCCATATTCGCTTTGGAAGAAACAATCAATGTTCCCTTGATTTTAATTTGAAGAAAGCCTAATGCAAGCTAAGGCAATAAGGCTTCTTCATAGCTGACCCTGCAATTACCCCATTGCCATGATAGCAACAGAAAGAAATAATATGGTCTATGTATGACTGTGTGCCACATGTTTTGTTGTTAAGGAGACAAAGCAAGTTATTTCTCATGAAGATATTATATCCCTAGTATTCAATATAAATCTGTGTCTTACTCAGTAGGACATTCATTCATTCATACTTTAAAAGGTAATAATTTATTATTAGAACTTACAATTCTTAGCTATATTTTAAAATCAATGCTCAATATATAATTGACTTCCTAAAACTATGGACATAGTACAGTGTTTACAACTAAAGTTGTCCTAATTAAGTTATTTTTGAAGAGTTCCTTTTTATAAACAGCATGAAAACTTCATTGAAATCACATTCTGAATTTTTTTTAAAAAATGCACCAAATATAGACATCCAAAATCATCATGGAGCCTCTACAAGATTCTGTGAATTGGAAGTTAACAGAAAGCTGTTCACCCTGACAAGTACCTGTACAACCTTCTATGCCTAAGCAACCAGAGAGTCTTTTCCCTAGCTCACTTCAAAGCTTCAGTGGAACTACAGTAAAAGGAAAGTACTCAGAGTGAATACTGTATGCCCATGGGAAGCTCAAGAAACCAGGTTTCTAGCCTACGCAGTTCTACTTTTCTTTCTCTACAGGATTCCTTTCTCTGACTTTATAACTCGTCTAGCATAGTAGACCTTGTAGAACAGAAGACTGTACCACTCTATCAAACCACACCTTTAACATTTATGTCTATCACCTCTGTTTTGCAGCAGTATCTATTAGAACAAGCCTTATTGATGTCTGATGTTTTCCTTCACTAATTTTTTTAAAAAAATCATACCTCTTTTTTAACTTAATTTCTCTGTATAATCTCACCTGTGCTCAAACTATATTTACATGCTTATATATACCCTATTATCAGAGTGGATTGCATACTTACAATGACACACATGTAAAGACTGAAATAATATGAGAAATTCTAAGCATTTATAGTGCAATTCTACACACGCATTTCTATTTCTACTAACCAACTGGAAGAGCAAAATGACAAAATGAAACCAAAGCAGATCTGACTGAAACAAAATGGAGGCTCAACAGTCACTCTGTCCCCAAGGCCTGGGAGAACCACCAGGTCTTCAATCATTTCCTGAATGACATAAGGGTGGGAGCCACATAAATCTCTGGGGGAGGGGAGATCATTCCAGAGGGCAGAAATTGCAACAGAATAGGTGTGTTTCCTGGGTCTCACAAGCTGACATTCTTTAATTGATGGGACCTGGAGGGTACCCATCTTGCTGAACCCTACTAGATGGTCAGAGACAACTGAAGATAAGGAGTCCCTCAGATAGCCAGGCCCCATGCCATGAAGGATATTGAGAGTGATAACCAGCACCCTGAATTGTACCTGGAAGCCAACTGGAAACCAGTGCAGTTTGCAAAATAGTGTGGTCATGTGTGCATAATACTGTACATCTCTCTCATCACTGCCTCATTCTGGACCAGCTGTACCTTCTGGATAGTCTTCAAGGGCAGCATCCTGTAAAATGCACTACAGCAATCCAATTGTGAGGTGACTAAGGTGTGACTGTCTGAAGGACCTTTTGATCCAGAATCCAAGAGGACCCCCAGTACACAAGTCTAAAATGGGGAAATACAACATTATTGAAAGTCAACAATTGAATACCTCTGGATCTGGAAGGCCAAATAAATATAGCCACTCAGTTTTGTCAGGATTGTGGGTTGTATGTGGAGTTCAGTGAAGATCAAAAACAATTAAGTCAAAAGATAAGTACAATACAGAATCAATATAAAAACACACAGCTCATAGCTGAGATTTGGTATAATAAATGCTCACTTTCATAAGAGAATGGCCTCATTAAATATCTTGGTCCAGTGCATGAGAGAAAAGCCAGGTCTTTACAGCTCTATGGAAGGGTAACAGGGTCTGGGGCACCCTACTTAGCAGAGTTTTTATGTACTTAAAAATCTATTCTTGCAGTTTCTTGCTTAGCTGGTCAAGAGAAGTCTGACAGTAATTTCAGCAACTACTTTACTTCCAATATATAAGAGATAAAATTTATTTTAGGTTTCTAGATCGAGATGTTGGCAACTGACCCTCTTGCCATGCCAGTGATCACTGAACTTGTTTCAGTATCAAAACCAAGTAGGCCAGCATCAGACCTAAGAAGCCACCAGATTAACCATTTGAACCAAAATGAATGAACTCATTTTCCAGCAGATGGTTCTCCCCCAGGGAAAGGGCCAATAGCACCTAGATGGTAAAAGATCATACTCCAACAAAGCAAAACCATTGCCAAAACCCCAGTCGATAAACTTCTAGTCCTTATCTGCTAGCTAATAGATGTAAACAGTACAAGGGCAGGTCAGAAGCACACCACAATAATGGCTGACGACTGTCTTTCTGAGACTTGGGGCTGAAGGAAGGTGACAAAATGGCTGCCAAGCCCACATGGAAAGCTTAATTACAGTTGCAGGAACCAAGCCAGGAACCAAATACTGTTGGAGCTCTGCTGTTGTCAGGAATGCATCACTGCTGCCATATACTCTTCTGTGGCTACCATCAGGTCTCCTTCAGCCATCCCCACCTACCAAACCACACTGTGGAGCCTCTTCAGTGCTGCTGGTCCTGTTCATGTCACTGTACTGCATTGCCAAACAAAAAATAGCTGATTGGTGCACAGCACATGGTGATCTAACTCTCCAGCTGCTGGCAACTTTCCAAAGCCTCTTCCAATGTTCCAGACACAACAGGAGGCAATCGGCCCTTGTGTTTTTTTCCCAGGCAGCCTGAATGCCCAACAAGGGATATGAACCAAGCCGGGTCAGTAAACAGCAGTTTAAAGCCATCCAGCTGTCCTGTCTGGAAAAACCCTGACCCTATATACTTTATGACCTAGACCATGGAGGTCAGTAGTAGTTCATAGTCAGTCTTCACATGACTTTTACTCAAAACAAGGGGGGAGAGAATCTTCACGTTAGCCAAAATGCACAAGGCTCCTGAGTAGAAATGTCTCCAAGGTGCAGGTAAAGTTCACTAGTGATACCATTTCAGGACATTATTAAAATGGAATTACACTTCCCCTACATTTTTGGAAACATGGAGAGAAGGTGGTGTCAAAAATAAGCTAGGGGTGAAGATTTTGGATATGAAAGGAGCTCAGGAAACAATGTGCTTAGGGACAGGGCAAGTGCTGCAAGAGGCTTCAGAGGTCATGATCAGTGGAGAGATGTGCCAGTGCCTCCCAACGCTCCTGAAATACATTTCTGTTCCCCACAATAGGTTGCTAACCTCACTATCAAAATGAACGATAAAGCAATATCCATTTTACTCACCTTGCAGCCATGGTTGGAATAATGTGGGCTTCCGAGGGAAAAATACAACTTTAAAGCTAGTACGGCTAATGACTTAAAGCTGTTTCACTCATGGGCTGGGAATGAGATGAGGGCAACATCATGCATTCTGGGGAAAGACTTGCATAGTCAGATCATGATGTTAAACTGCCCTGTAAATTACTTTAGATAGGTGTGCCACTGTTTGAGATCAGTAGTAGATGCTTTGGTTTCTCAATTCTGCAAACTATTCTGAACAAAATGTGCCTCCCTGTTTTCAGCAGATCAGCCAGCCAGCTAATGCTTTGTAATATTATTACTGATTTAAAACGCATTTTCTAGAGGATTTCCTGCCACCACCAAGATTAAGGTTCTTTATTATTAATCCACACTTTTAAAAAAAAAATCCTATTAACTATACTAATATTAGAGGGGAAAAACTTACATCTATGAGGTTAACTACAAAATCCCCCCCTGCCCGTTACCTGGAATTTTAGGCTTCAGTATTAGCTTTTTAATAAAGGTAGTATTAGCATTTTAGCATGGCATCCATGCTTAAATCCTAAATCCATGCAATCCTGCCCCAGCATTAAAGGAATACAATTCACCACCTCTTCTGTATACTGTGCAACCCTATTTACATAAGGTAACTCAAGCGAAGTAGACACTATTGCTCCTTAGAATCATATCCAGAGCAGCTTCCCATACAATTTATGGAGGCAGCAACTCAGTTTCTACAGCATGACAAACCGGCCAAGGGTCTCTGTGCGTGCATGTCGGGTAGAAGAGGGTTCTCCGGCTCTGAAGCTGTAAAACGCGTCTATTTGTTAGTAACAGCGGGCCGCGGAGAAACAAGGCACGCGAGAAGCATGGAAGGGGAATCCATCACTAGGTTTGGGGTTCATGGCTGCCCCCGTCGCAGCTGGAGAAGCAGTTTAACCGCCACAGTCTCGCGCGACGAAGAACACAGTCCTCGCCCGCGAGGGCGCGCGCGAGACGCGAGTCTCTCTGGCGCGGTATCTCAGCTTTCTGGTGAGGCGAGAGCAACCTTCACAAGCCGCGCGGAAAACAGCTCTCGGTTTCGGTCCCACGTCCCTTCCACGCCTGCGCAGTAAGCTAGGCGAGTCGGAGTACAGTACGGTACAACACGCCGAGCCAGCCTGGGGCCGGGCGCCACCCTCTTGGGGAAAGTGACTGACTGGCGGGAGCGGGGACTTCCCGGAGGCTGGCGTTTTGTCGCTGGGCGACACTAGAACTGGCGGAAAGGGGAGCAACCGAGCCCGCCGCTTTCGAGGATGGTCTTCGAATCGGTGGTCGTGGACGTTCTGAACCGGTTCCTGGGCGATTATGTGGTGAACCTGGATAGTTCCCAGCTCCAGCTTGGCATTTGGGGAGGTAAGCCAGAGGCCAGGCTGGCCCCGGCCGGTTAACCTGGGCTCGGCCTCGTCCGACAGCAGCCCCCTTGCTCGGAAACCCCCTTTCTCTTCAGAAGGTGGTGGCCGGACTCCTCCCTTCCGTATGCACGGCTGCTATCCTGGTGCGCGTGCTCGCCGACTGCCCGCCCGCGTGTTTGTCTCCGTGAAAGAAGGCGAAAGCGGTCCTGCACAAGAGACGAGGACCCGGGACAAACTCCCTTCTCCCTCGACGAGCGAGGTCTCCTCAGAGCCCCGCGGGTGGGCTCGCTGAATTGCTCTGAGTTGCTTTCCTTCTTGCTTCGCCAGGCCTTGTCACGTGCCGTGCCGTGCCGTCTCTTCTTGTTGCTCCTTTTTGGAAGTTATTTTCTTTAAGGAGAGGCAAGGGTGGAGCAAAGGCCGCTCGGAGTGCGTCTAAGAATAATAGGGCCATTGTGACAGCAACAAAAAGCAGCTGTGTTAAGCGAGGTGTAAAAACGATGTTTTTAGTGTACTGTACGTCTCATTCTGTTTAGGTCAGTTTTTGCGGTGGGTCTGGGAACCCAGTACTGTATGAACTTAAAACTGGTCACTAACAAATCATATACTGCTTTCCTGATATGCCTTAGCGTATGTATGCGTTTATTTATTTTTTAAATTTAGAAGGTTGCCTGACTCCCAAATGACTCTTGGTAGCTTACATAATTAAAGGGAAAAAAAACCCTGTGTGCAACTGGAGTAAACACACGTTCCCTTACAAAAAGCCACCACAAGCTCAACAGACAAACCCCAGCCTTGGGAGCAGAACCATCTTTTCAAAGACTTTCGTATTCCTTGTAGGGTGAGATCCCTACAAATCTTCTGTGGAGGGGGGTGGGAATGCTGTTCCAGAGTGCAGGTACCACAACAGAAAATCTTGTCAATTGTTTTGTGGCAGTAACAATTCATTTTATTTGTCATTCAAGAATAATGATAAAAACAACTTCTGTTTGTGTGTATTATACCTAAAATCTCCCTGCAATTTGAGTTTGTATCTGCTTTCATGGAACTCAAGGTGATCTATACAAGACTCCCAAATTGTTACTGAGGTAGTAACTCAAACCAGATACAGTTTTAGCAAGGTTGTACATCAGGCGTTTTAAGTAGTGGAATGCATATAAGATGGAATATATCTGTATAATTCTCTGAACATATTAATTACCCATTTTGAGATACAAATACCTTGGAATTGGTGAATTGTTTGTATTGGTGAACAAATCTGGCCTTTGGTTGATAATCCATAGATGAGTGAAATATTTTTTAGGTAGGCCATTGGTTTCATCAACTTTCCCTTTTTTCGTCCAAAATAATTAACGGAATAGGAAATGCATGCTATAACTAGATGATCCAAAATATTGAAGATCACTTTTGTATATTTCCATTTCTGATTTGTAAAAAGCTAGTATTTGATTTAATGGCACTTGAATATATTTTTCACATACTATATATGCTGCAGATCTGTAATATGTATGTTCTTAAAATGTAATGTGTGAAGTCTTAATAGAGTAGACAAGCAAGTTTTCCCTCTTGATAATACAGTGCATTGTTTCTTTTTATCTTTTAGTTTTCTTAAATTTCTCACAATAATTTGTTCCTAAATCAATAAGTACAAAATTCTACAATTTGAAAATAATCAAATTCTATAGCTGCACATATATGAAATAGGATCAGCTACTTTTAATATGTCAGCCAAAATCAAAATATCCACTTTGTGACTTGTAATTTAGCTAGATTTCCAAACTGTGATTATAGCAGGTATCATTTTGTTAAAAGCTGGAAAATCAAAGTAACTCCGAAAATTCTCACATTTTATAAGAAAATATGTTTTTCTAAGGACTCATGCTCTGGGCAGGAGGTTGAACTAGAAGACCTCCAAGATCCCTTCCAACCTTATTCTACAATCCTTTGATAACATGTTCTGGTTTCTTTTCTTTCTTATGCTAAATAAATACTGTCAGTAAAGTAAGGGTACTTTACCGAGCAATATGTTAGAGTGCTTTGACATCTCCAGATGTCCTCCTAAGTGGCCCAAATGAACCAAATTGAGGGCATTTTGGAGATTCATATTCTGATAAGCTCCCATTCTGCCCCATGTATGTCCCTTTGAAGACCTGAAGTATTGAAAATATGTATTTTTGAGGTTGGTTGAGAGGAAGAGAGGAATTTAAATTTGCTGTGGGGAGGATAGTGAAATATCCGGTAGCTCTTGGAATGCTGTGTAAGGCCATAAGATTATGCATATTCAATCTTTAAAGAAATAACTTACCTTTTTCTTTATGTTATAGGCAACTTATTTAGCTCCTGATATTAGTGATTTTAGCATATGTAAAATGCATCTTCATAGGAAGATGTTTTCAAAGAACCTATATCTTGTCTGCAAACCAGTATCAATTTAATAAATACTTCAAAGAATGTCAGAGTTGAACAGTGCCCATATGAATGACCAAACTAGCATTTCTATGATAAAGAGAATAGAAAAAAGAGAACACTAGAGAAGCATATCTAATACTAATGGAGTTATTAGTGGTTAGGGATATATTATACTGTAGATGCTGCTGGCTGGGGAATTCTGGGAGTTGAAGTCCACACATCTTAAAATGACTAAGGTTGAGAAACACTGCTGTAGATGGTGCTTAAATTTAGAGTGGTTGAAATACTGATAAGAAAATCCATACAACTATAAATATAACAGCATTACCTATTATTACTCATTGGTTATAGAGAATTATCTCAAATGATAGAGCACTTGTAATTTGAAAGGTAGTAGTAGTTTTGCCTCTGATTTCTAACAGAGCTCCTACTCTTTTCCTCTATGGGGTGTGGGGAGATAGTGAAACTCAATGATAGAGCCTATGCTTTGATTCATAAAATCTTAAATTCTGACCCTGATATTTTCAGGTAGGGTTGGCAAATTTCTCTGTTTAAAAGTCTGAAGAGCTACTACTGTGAGTCAGTTTAGGTGGGCAAACTTTTCAACAGCAAGAACTGAATTTGGAGCACACTCTGTAAGTTGTCTTCTCAGGGCAGTAGTAGAAAACAAAATTCTTGAAGAACAAGTTTCATAAGAATATTTTAGGAACATCATTTCAGTTTCCTTAAATGATTTCTGTCCAGGATTCATGATAGTTCAAATTCATCATTGTTAGTAGTGCAGGTAGTCCTCGGTTAATGACAGTAATTGGGACTGGGAACTCTGTTGCTGAGCGACGCAGTCATAAAACACAATGTCATGTCACTGTGATGACTCATTCCGGCAGGTCCAGTTGTGGTTGTTAGGCCAATCCCACATAGTTGTTAGGTGCAACATCACATGATAGCCATTTGTGACCTCTTGCTGGCTTCCCCATTGACTTTGCTTGTCAGAAGCTGGCAGCGAAGGTCACAAATGGCAATCATGTGACAGTGGGGACACTGTGATGGCCACAACTTCGAAGACTGGCCATAAGTTTCCTCATTCAGTGCTATCGTAACTTTGAATGGTTGTTAACCGAGGACCACCTGCATTATTTTTCTCCTTTTCTTTGTAAATGCAGTATATACTGGCATGCCTACTTAAAGAGCTGTGGAAAAAAAAAAAAGACTTAATATTTTAAGGCTAAGTTTATCAAGCAAAGGCTGAGGTTTTAAGCATTAAGGCCAAGATTAGTAAGCAAAATTATTTCTGATATTTAGGCTTAGAGAAATTATGCCCAATGTAATGTCTAGTTTGTATGTTTGTTTATTTAACAGTGATTTGCTAGTCATCTATTTTCCAGACTCTTACAAACAAAAATAGTAGAATTAAGTTTTACTTTTGTCTATATCATTAAATATACATAAATAAAAGTGAAATGGATGTTTAGTAAGTGCAACAATTGATGCAAGATGTAGCTCAGAAATTAAGAGTTGGACTCAACCCACATGACTGCTCACTGTGCCCTCTCACTGCAATAATCATTTTCATGGTATATGTGGCACCAACAACCATCGTCTCCTTTCTTTCCTTGCAGTTGTCCCTCCAGTCAGCCAATGGGGGACACCAAAAATAAGAGACAACTTGTTGTACCACCGTGTTTGCTTTTCATCTGGCAGCCTTGACTATTTACAGCATGAGAAGGGGGGAGCAAGATGTCCAATGTAAGGAGAGTGAAAAAGCCTGTTTAGTGGGGAAGGATAGGGAAGGAGTGGTGCCTTGTCCTCTGGGGAGAAGAGGGACTTCCAGAAGTGGGATGAGGAGGGAGATCTTGCCAGTGGAAAGTAACCTTGCCCTGCATCTGCAGAGGAACCATTGTTACAGCATCTGCTCTGGATTTCCATTTGGCTAAGAAAGGGGCCTTAGAGTCTGCTGGCGGAAGGCCTTAGGGTCTGCTGTGGAGGAGGGGAGAACTAGGATGTTGGCCTCACTAAATTAGTTCTG